GAATTCTGGACTCTTCTAAAGGTAGACATTGCCTTTTGTGGTTGCATAACAGGAAGAGCTTAAACAGCTGGGTGGCTCCAGTTGATAGTGTCAACTTCAAAGTCCACCCCTCTCTTTGTCCTTCCTTTTCATCTTCCACAGGAGGAAAGCGATATTCTAAACATCACACTCCAGGCCGGCCCAAGTATAGTGGCCCACTTCCTCTTGCCTCATCCTCTGTTCTCTGTGTGTTGGGTGGGTAATTCTTAGTCCTGACAGTGACACAGCCCCACCACCCCGTAACAATTTTAAACTCTCCAATGCCTGTGAGTGCTTCTCGGTTTCCAGGGTGACTGATTACAGTTCTCAAGGGGAGAGCCGTCTGTGTCTTTCCTGTGGAGAAGTCCAAGCTATCTTCCCTATGCAGAAATCCCTACTCATTGGCCCTAGGTCCAGGAGGCCTGGCTAATGGGAGCTTGATGGGATCATCCCCTTGAGACTGTCTTCCTGGGCCCCTGTGCTCGGTGTGTGTGAATGGCCAGATTGCTGCTGGATACTCAGTGATCGAGCTGGGCACAGTACAGCCCTGACGTCATCCATGTTTTACATCAAACTCAAGCCACCTAGAGAAGGTCTTGGTGGATTTCCACGTGCAGACCTTCACCCACAGTGAAGAGGGGAGGGAAGTTAACAGCTGATCCATTATAGGAGCTGCTTCAAAAAGTTGGTGGGAGAATGAAGTTAAAAGATAAGTGTATTTTAGTGCAAAAAGTTCTGAAATCCCTAGGTTTTTCTTAATACATATTTTCCCTAAATTTTTGGAAGACCCCCTCTCACATGCAAAATCTCTATAATTTTGACGTATTTTAAAGAAGACCTGCATCTCATTGTTCATTCAACAGATATTTTGGGAGTGATAGTATGATAAAACAATATTCTCAAACCCGAGGACATCCTTTTAAGCTTATTGTTTCCAAGAAAATAATTGAAGAGACTCATCAATAACATTCTTGGATATTTGTATGCTTTAGGACATGTACTTATGTAACACGTTTTTATTCAAATAATATGTACTTAGCAACTGAGAGTAAGTCCACTTAGACCCAGTTTCTTAGGGTACACCTAAGAGTTTGTACCTTGAATCCAGGCACAGGGTTACCAGTGGACAAATGGCTTTGTCCCCTGCTCAACTCTAGGGACTGCCCTGCAAAGTTTGTTCTAGGCTTAGGAGTGTCCAACAAGGAAAGAGACCTAAAGCTCTGAATTCTCTGAAGAGGATAAAAGGGAACTTTTAAATACATCCTAGGATGCTTAGGGTACAGTTGCTCCCCTTTATCTTTGAGGGATTTCCCAAGCCGCTCCTCCCCGCAATGGATACCTGAAACCATAGGTGGTACCAAACACCATGTGTCCAGTCTTGTGTTGCATAATAATGGGGATGTATTCTGAAAGCTGTGCCATCAGCCAATTTCCTGTTGTGTATCCTTTATGGGAGTGAGATGGCTATGATGACACCAAGTCTTGTGGGACCACTGTGATGGGTACAGCCTGTCATTGACCTACATGTTGTCATTTGGCACATGGCCATACTGTGTTTGGAAAAACAAAGTTTAATTTATAAATTAGATGCAGTAAGAGAGTAACAACAGTTAAGACAATAGAGCAGTTATACCAATATACCCTAGTGAAAGTTATGTGAATGTAGTCGGCCTCTCCCCCACCTCCACTTCTGTTTTTCTCTCAAGAGTAAAGAGAAATGTTAATATTTGGGGGACCATAGGTAAAGGGGGAACTACTATAGGAGAGTGACTCAAAACAGTCATGGAACATGGAATTGTAAGTTTATTTTGGTGCAAAAAATGTGAAATCCTTGTATACAGGAAGTCTTCAGAAAGCTCCTAGAAAATGTATACTGTGAAAAAAACTATCCAAGAATTGACTCAGGGGCATATGTGGCAGAGGAATGGTGAATGAGTAACCCAGATGATTGGAAATGAGGTTGGTGTGGGAGAAAACTGGGTTTAAGCCCTAAAGCCTCTGCCACATCCCACTCCCCTAAAGGAAGGAGACCACACCTGAGAGGTGGTGTCAACTTCACATAGGAAAAATCAGGATCCCTATTCATACTCTTAAATGTAGGGTTTCAAAGTATGTGTGGTGGCACAGAGGGAGTGCAAAGCTGGAAAAGTCCATCTCATACCTTTTATTATTTTACCAAGATGTCAGTGTGGCCTGAATTAGAGGCACAAAGGGAAGCGTCCTTTTGAATTTCTTGCTTTTCTTATGAGTCAGAAGCCCATATTTGGGATGTGCGTGGTATAATACATAAGGATGCTGATTCCACATGGGCAGTTTGTGTACATGATGAAAATTTTAGGAAGCTGTACTGTGCCTCTAGTGGGACTGCTATGGAGTCTAGGTCTAGCTTAATGAGCAGTTTTGCTATTTGTGCAGACAGCTGTTGGTGCAGTTGGGGCACCGTGGAAGCAAAGCCGCCCATTATCGATGTGTTGTGTTAGATTCCTTTGCTGGGTACCAATTGGGATGGAGGGAAGAGGAGTGACAGTTCACTGTTAGCTATTACAGCCTCTGTCCATGGGATTTTCGTTTTTGTAAAGGTTTTTTCTTTCTCATCATTGGATCATCCTAAAGTTACATGAACATTTTTGTTAAAATGGTTTTAATTTTAATTTTTAAGATGAAGACCTATTTATATATTTAATGATGATGCTGAATTATAAAATCATAACATAACTAAAGTAGATAAGTAAACTATTTCTACTGAAACAAACTTTGATTAAAAACACAGTCATTCTATTTTAACAGCCTTATTGAGATGTCATTCAGCCAATTTGGTGATTTCTTTTTCTAAGTCAGTTACTTAGGGGGAAATTCTTTGTGGGAATATTCACTATCTGAAACACACAGTTCCATAGAGGACTTTGAATAGTGCCATTGACAGGGGACCAATACTTCTGGCAAGTGAGAGTAGGCTTAGTGCCAGCAGCAAATAAACTGTCATAATTGTAAGACAATGAGAGTAGTAATTACATGGATTTGGATGCTGGTTCACTCTGCTTTCCTGACACTGCTGCCCATGCACCCTTGTTAGGTTCTGCTTTCCCTTGTCCTTGTACTGTCTTTGTTCCAGGCCTCCTTCCCTCTTGGGTAGCCTCGTGAGGAAAAGGCTTATTAATGTTAGCTGCCTGAGACCCAGAGGAAGCTCCTGGCTCCTGGCTTCAGATCAGCCCAGCTCCGTTGTGACCATCTGGGGAGTGGGCCAGCAGACGGAAGATATCCCCCCCACCCCCACCTCTGCCTCTCTGTAGCTCTGCATTTCAAATAAATCTTAAAAAAATTTGCCCTACAGACTTGGTTTTAGCTTTCCTGCCCTGCACAAATACCAGCCTTGATTTTTAGCTTGGGCACTGACTGTTGTTTTGGGACAATGTTATCATATTCTTCCTGGGTAGGTGGGAGATAGAGAAAGTAATTCTGTTTTTTCTTTTTTCTTTTATTTTTTTAAGATTTATTTATTTGAAAGTCAGGGTTACAGAGACAGAGAGGGAGCAACAGAGAGGGACAGAGAGATCTTCCATCCACTGAGTCACTCTCTAAATGGCTGCAATTGTTAGGGCTGGGCTACACCATAGCCAGGAGCCAGGAACTCCAGCTAGGTCTCCCACATGGGTGTCAGGAACCCAAATACTTGAGCCATCTTCTGCTTTCCCAGGCACATTAGCAGGGAGCTGGATCAGAAATGGAGCAGCCAGGACTCAGACACTTATGTGGGGTGCCGCCATCATAAGTGGCAGCTTAACCCACTGTGCAACAACACCAACCCCATAATTCTTCCTGTTTATTGCATCAGTATTTATTAAAAACACGTACTTTGTGCCTAGGGTTGAATTAGACTGTAGAAACGGAGAAGTACAAGAAGGTAGCTTTTGCCTTCAAAGCTTTATCCATCAGACATTTTTAGAGCAGGACATTTGAGCAAATGTTTAAGAAACTAGATATGGGGCTGCAAAGTAGCTTCTGAGGCAACTTTGTAGGAGCTTTTAGAAACCACTGACACCTGCTTACCCCACCCCAGAAGTTCTGATTACGTGGATCTGGGGCGTGCACTGGGCATTGGGAGCTTTGAAACCCTCCTGGGTGATTGCAGTGCAGAGCCAAAGTGGGGAACTGCTGATCTCATAGGGTTTACAATGGCCTGTGCTTTGGAGAACTGTTTTTGCGCAACTTAGAAAACTGGAACTTTGTATTCCTAGAATCTGAAACTTTTGATGAGTACCAAATCTTGGGCAGCCTTTAGAGTCTTCACCTGAATCCTCTTTGACAGCGAGCAGGTGGGGCTGGGTCTCCCAGGGAGGCCTCTTTTAGGGCTAGTGTTTGCAAGGAGTGGTATCTTTCTGCCTTCTGAGAAGCTGCAGAGATGGAAACTTTTTTAAAGACCAGGCATGGGCATCTGTCTATTTTGAGAAAGTTGTCCTGGTGTCAGTTGTTCACAGCTAGAGGAAGACTGTTACCTTGTAAAATTGTCTTCCCACATTGCCAAGTAAGTAGATAATGTACTAACCGGAAGTCTCATCATTAATTAGCCTTGCACTTTGGGTACAATGCAATTAACTTCTGATTTATTAGCTTCTAGCAGATTAATTTGGAGCACAGGCATTGGAAGCAGACTGCTCCATCACTTAGAAGCTGCGTTGTATTGGATGAGTCATTTACTTCATGGAGCCTCGGCTGTGCCGGCTGTTAAATGGGTGTGATTATAGATCTCCCTTACCTATGGGAGGATTATGCATCAAACCAGTGCCTGGCCAGCAGCAGGTGCTCAGCCTTTGCCAGTGCTTGTTCTCACTGTTTTTGAGCACTCAGCGAGCTCTCATGATTTTGCAGCAGTTTGGGGGAACATGAGGTGGAATCCAACACCTTTAGGAGGGACAGGTGCCAGGTGGGTCTCCCTAACGCGGGGCTGACGGCATCTACCTTGCCTTCCCATCTGTGCTCTGAAGAGTACAGAACAGGTGGCCGCCTTCTGCCGCAGTTTGCACGAGATGAACCCCTCTGACTCCAGCCCGTCTCCTCAGGACTGCTCAGGGCCGCAGATGGCAACCATGAGACAGCTGTCGGACGCGGATAAGCTGCGCAAGGTGATCTGCGAGCTCCTGGAGACGGAGCGCACCTACGTGAAGGTACATCCTGCCCTCCCCTTCCCCCATTTGCCCTGGGTCCGCGCACCCTCCTCTTCTTGAGACTGAAGTGGTGTGTCTGTGTGGAGAGCTTGCCCTCAGTATCCATGCATGGAGACAAATTGGCTACAGGGACCCTGCAGCTACCAAAATCTATGGATGTGCAAGTGCCTTGGATAAAATGGCATAATGTTTGTGTGTAGTCCACACACTTCCTCTTGTATGCTTTAAATCATTTTTAGGTTCCTTACAATTCCTAATGCAGTGTACATGCCATGCAGATAGTTGTTAATACTGTGGTATTCACGAAAGAATGACTAAAGTCTGGATGAGTTCAGTACAAGCACACATTTTTTCCCAAATACCTTTGATTCATGGTTGGTTGAATCCAAGGCTGTGGGATCCACAAGCACAGAGGCAATGCTGTGCTGTTTTTTTTTTTTTTTTAATTTATTTTTTTCCTCAAGAACAAAACAAATCATGGGAATGGGAAGTACCTTGCGTTCTTCTCTGGAACTTGGCTTTCATTCGGAAGGTGAAGATCTTTTGAGTTTGAAGGAAGTGTATCAACTCAAGACAATTTTAATTCACTCATAGGGGCTCCAACATTGGGTGCCTCCATAATTACAAAAATTTTATTTATGTAGCAATTCACTGATTGGGAAGAGTGATTATGGTGAATTGAGTGATTCTACTGATGTTCTAAATTTGTTGCTGAGCTAATATTAAAACTGGAATTAGTTTTGAACAATGTGAAGATATTCGGTTTGTAATCTAATCTAACTGTAGGCAGAAGGATGCCAGGTCTGGTTTCTTTGTATCACTACTTGTTCTGATTCGAGAGTTACATTCCTGTGCGGAAGCAGTGTGCTGTTTTTAATTATCTCCTTCAGACTTTAAATCAGGGGTCAGTAAATTACGGCCTTCAGGCCAGTTTCAGCCCATGGCCTGTTTTTTTTAGATAAAGTTTTATTGGAACACAGCAACTTCCCTTTCATGTTATCAGTGCCTGCTTCCAGAATGCAGCCTGCAGTGGTCCTGACAGGGATCAAAGCCTGAGGTGGACCTTAGTGACCTACAGCCACTAATGCTAGCATGTGGTCTGTAATCTGTGTTTTCTCATTTAGATTCTTGATAGACTTTTAGATGTGCTAATGAGGTGTCCTTTCAACCCCTAGGACTTAAACTGTCTCATGGAGAGATACCTGAAACCTCTTCAAAAGGAAACTTTCCTCACCCAAGATGAGGTATGAACTTTCTCTTAACTTTGTCAGGTTTGACTTGGTGCAGAGGAAGGAATGGGGAGAACACATAAGGCTGAAGCTGTGTAGTTGTAATCGGAGGGTTGAATCCCTGTCTGCCAAGATTTGCTGTGTACTACGATAGCGAGGAGTTGGTCCACCCTCTGGTAGAAGGATCATTACCCTACTGATTGATCAGTATCGATAGAAAAACTGTGCAATAGACACAAGTAAAGTTTCTGAACATTTATGAAGTATGGAGTGGATTCACTTCTTTCTCATGTTGCAGCTGGATGTACTCTTTGGAAATTTAACTGAAATGGTAGAGTTTCAAGTAGAATTCCTTAAAACGCTAGAAGATGGCGTGAGACTGGTCCCTGATTTGGAAAAGCTTGAGAAAGTCGACCAGTTTAAGGTGAGTGTCATGCGCAGATGGTGCACAGCTGTCCCCAGTGTCACGGGGAAGGGAACTATGGGTCAAGTTCAGTCCTCTGAGAGAATTCTGCAGGGTGTTCTTTGGGCAGCTCTTGTGCTCGTGGTGTTTGGACTACCCAGGGGGTGGGGGCTGGGGTAGTTCCTGAAGGGAATCTGAGGGCAGAGGCATGTGTGTCTTACTGTCATGCTAAGGGAAAACCAGTGCCATTGGCTTGAATTAAACTGCTGCATCTGCTGCTTCTGCTTTGGAAGACCTATCAACCTTGTCCTTTTGTTTATGAGGTGCCTCTAATACACTAGCCATTAGCAAATTAGAATAGCACCCTCGGTCTCCTGGTAAGCAAATTAATTCATCTGTTCCGGGAACCTTTCTTGGATGGAAATGCTTGTCTCCGTTATCCAGGAGGAAGACAGTCTTCCAGCACACAATGTCCTTGCAGCCTTAATGAGGATTGATGACTAGTGCCTTAGTAAGGATGCTTAGAGCTCGTTTCCTCTTCCCTGGCTGGCGTGCGTGATTGCACAGATTTCCTGTGCTGCACCTCCAGTCCACAGAACTCATTAATGCAGCTGTTGGCTTGTGTGCCACCCTCGGCTACTTTTAAATTTTTTTAAATAAAGATTTATTTATTTATGTATGTATTGGAAAGGCAGAGTTACATAGAGAGGGAGAGGCAGAGAGAGAAAGCAATCTTCCATCTACTGGTTCACTCCCCAGATGGGCTTGCAGTGGCTGGGGCTGGGCCAGGCTGAAGCCAGAACCAGGAACTCTATCTGGCTCTCCCGTGTGGGTGGCAGGGCCCAAGTACTCCAGCCATTTTCTTTCTCTGGTGCTTTAGCTGGGAACTGGATGTGGAAGCAGAGCAGCCAGGTCTTGAACTGGTGCTTGGATATGGGATGCTGGCATCATAGGCAATCGCTTAACTTGCTGTGCCTCAACATCAGCCCCGTACTTTTTAATTTCTTAAGAGATTATTTTTATTTATTTATTTATTAGGGACATACAGACAGAGTTCCCATCTGCCAATTCACTCCCCAAATGCTAGGAACTCAATCCAGGTCACTCCTGTGGGCGGCAGAGACTCCACTGCTTGAGTCAACTACCTGCCGCCTTCCAGGATGTGCAGTAGCAGGAAGCTGGAATTGGGACCAGAGCTGTCACTGGAATCCAGATACTCAGATATGGGATGCTGGAGTCTTAACCTGCATATTAATGAATTTTTGTTTCTTGGGTACTTTTTAAAACAGATTAATTTAGGTATACTTGCCATACAGTACACCACACATACTTGAAGTATGCAAATGAGCCCCCCCCCCACAAACACATACATACGCACACACACACACACTCACTCTTCTGAAACCATCATCACAATCAGGAAAATGAACATAATCATCACCTTGAAAGTCTTTTTCTTGGCGTTGGCACTGTGGCACAGCTGGTTAAACCACTGCCTGTGATGCCGGCATCCAATATGGGCACAGATTTGTATCCTGGCTGCTTTGCTTCCAGTCCAGCTCCCTGTTAATGTGCCTGGGAAAATCAGCAGAGGATGACCCAAAGTGCTTGGGCCCCTGCACCCATGTGGAAACCCAGAGGAAGCTCCTGGCTCCTGGCTTTGGCCTGGCCCAGCCCCTTCCATTGCAGCCATTTAGGGAGTGAACCAACAGATGGAAGATTCTCTCTCTCTCTCTCTCTCTCTCTTTCTCTCTTTCTCTCTCTCCCTCTCCTTCTGTAATTCTGCCTTTCAAATAAATAAAATAAATCCTTAAAAAGGTCTTTTTCTCCTCTTTGTGATTTCTCCCTCCAGCCTCTTACTGCTTTCCACCCACAGGCAGCCGTGCTCCGCTCTCTGTTACTATAAATATGTTCAAATAAGTTTTGATAGAATCTGCACTTGGCAGTGAGGGGTGTCTGAAGTCCCACAGAGAAGAAGCAATGGGACCATGCAGTCTTAGTGAATAAACCTGTCCCATTTGTGCACACTATGTACCCTGAGATCAACTTTTAAGGCCAAAAAGATAAACGAATCCCATAACATTTTATCTGTGGTTACTGTGTGGCAAGTGCTTAGTAAATATATGTTTTCTAAACATTTTATTTATTTGAGAGGCAGAGATCAGGAGTCAGACAGAGCTCCCGTCATATGCTTGTTCACTTCCCAAACAACTGCAGTGGTTGGGGACTGGACCAAGGCCAAACCCAGGAACACAATCCAGACCACCCATGTTGGTGGCAGGGACCCAATTACTTGAGCCATCACCACTGCGTCCCAGGGTCTACATTAGCAGGAAGCTAGAGTCAGGAGGAGCTGGAGTCGGAGCTGCGACTTGAATCCAGGAACTCTGAGATGGGGACACAGTTGTCTTAACCAGCATCTTAACTGGTAGGCCAAAAGCCTGCCCCTAGTGTTCAGTACACATTAAGTCAAACAAATGAATTGCTTTAGTATGCTTTGAGGGAGGGGCTACATTTCCGAGCATTTTCTCCCACAACTTTTTTGGTTTAATTCTTTCATGCAGCTCAAAGGATAATGCTACCTCACGGTAATTCTTGCTAACATTTGCTATTCCAGATGCGTGGTGGGGGCAGAGGGTGGTCCTTGAGAAGTAGAGAAGGAAAAATAGAATGCATAGAAAGAGAACTAGGCCTCTAATGACCGATCATGAGAGGTTTAAGATAAACCTGTTTTTGGTCAGTGGACAGACTGTCGGAATTTTCTGCCTTGTGCATTAGGTAAATGCACTTTGGGGAATCCCGTTTTTCACCCAAATCCAAAACCTAATTTCTTTGTTTGGAGTCTAAGTTGTAAGTCTAAGCCTAAATGAGCCAAGCCTCTGTCCAAACAGGATTAGGTCAATGTGGAATTTACAGAAGGTATTTTTCTGAGGCCTGTATCATGTACATATTTATATAAGATGTTTGGGATTAGAATGAATCCTGCTTCAGGCTTATTAAAATCCTATTAGGGATGGTCTCCCCACATTTTGGTCCCCTTGGGACAGGTGGTTCAGGCTGAGATAAAGGAGATTTCTATGGTTGGACATGTTTTTTTCTTGAATGTGGCTTGTGTTCTTATGTGCCCCTGCTAGAAGAGAGTGATTTTGGAGAGAGTGGTAGTAGTGGTCAGGAAATGTGGTTTCTATTTTCAGGTGGTAAGCATTTCCTATGTGGTTTAACACTTATATCTCCCAACAAGAGCTAAGGAGATCATTTAGGAGATTTGGCTTCCCCCCTGCCCCAAATATGAGGCTATTTCAAAAAGTTCATGAAAATAGAATTAAAAGATAATTTAAAAAAAAAAAACAGAAACCTTGAAATCATGCATACAATGGATTTTCAAGAGGCTCATGGAAAATGTGTATTATGAAAAAATTTGACATAGATCTCAAAAATTTTTATTCACCAAAAATAAACATTTTTATTTCTCTTTCCATGAGCTTTTTGAAGTGCCTTCATATTTTCACATTAACATTCAGACATCCCAGACAGGCCATTAAAAGACATAGACAAGGAAAACCAGAAGCACCTGGGCTACAAGCATGGCGGCACCAAGACACATTGATTACGCCCATTTGTCTGCCCATATACTTGCTAATAGTCAATGTCAGGGCGCTGGCAAGCGGAAACAGACTCTGACAGGCGTGGATGATGCAGATTTGCGGGGGAAGGTCAGGTGGATGTGAACTCCCCTGTTATATCCGTGGCTGTTTCTAGATGAGGAAGCAAATGAACCAACTGAGCTTTCTCTCGTTCAATCCAGAAAGTGCTGTTCTCCCTGGGGGGATCCTTTCTGTATTATGCTGACCGCTTCAAGCTCTACAGTGCCTTCTGCGCCAGCCACACAAAAGTCCCCAAAGTCTTGGTGAAAGGTAAGGCCTCTGAGGGTTGGGGGCAAGTGGATTGTCTGTTGTCAGTTCACATTGTGTGGCTGCTGTTGGGGGCTCTTAGAAATCCAAGAGTTGTAGACCTTCCAGATAGATGTTCTCACAAGCCGCAAATGTGCTACTGAGAAATGAAATGCATTGCCATCCTGGGAATTAATAACTCATCAGCTTCTTTAGAATGAAAGCTTGGACCCAGCTACTGCGGGCTAGAATCGATGGATCATTTTGTGGTTACATGGGTTTATAAATCCTCTGCTTCTTCTCTAGTTTGTTAATATAATATCCTAACAAATATAATATTTGTTAATATAATATATAATACATCACAACCATTTTTTCAGATTTCACCTTTCCATCACATTTCTTAAAAAATCTATTTGAAAGGTGGGGCGGGGCGGGGGCAGCATTGTGGCACAGCAGGTTAAGTCACTACCTGTGATGCTGGCATCCCCTACAAATGCCAGGTCAATTTCCAGCTGTTCTGCTTCTGAGCCAGCTCCCTGCAGATGTGCCTGGGAAAGCAGCAGAAGATGTGCCAAGTACTTGGGCCCCTGCCACCCATGTGGGAGACCTAGATTGAATTCCAGGTTCCTGACTTCCATTGTGGCTGTTTGGGGAATTAACCATTGGTTAATTCCTTTATTTATTATTAAATAAATAAATCTTAGAAAGGGATGGGGGTGGGGGAAAGAAAGACACAAACAAACAGAAAGAGAGCTTCCTTTTGCTGATTCACTTCCTAAATGACTGCAACAGCCAGGACTGGGCCAGGCCAAATCCAGGAACATGGAACTCCATCTGGGTCCCCCATGTGGGTGACAGGGAATCAAGTTCTTGAACCATCATCACCTGCTACCTCCCAGGGTTCTCATTAGCAGGGAATGAATTGGAAGCTGAGCCAAGACTTGAACCCAAGCACTCTGATGTGGGCTGTAGGTACCCCAATGTGCCAAATGCCTGCTCTGTTCCTCCATCTTGTTGTTTTTCTCCTGGGTGTGTAATGACAACTGCCAACGCTGCAACTGAATTTGTTTTAGTTATTAATGAAAACTGCTCCAGTGGCAAATGTTTGTACAGGACAAAGTAGCACTTTTGTATCCACAAGGGACTTCTCCTTAGCATTCTGAGAAGATGATGGGGCATTCCAAGAGGCTCCAGAAGGTAGCTGTATTTGCACAGTGCAGTGTGTGGGTTTGGTTTTAGGTGAAAAGTTAATCTCCCAGGAGAGTAGAGTCGTGATTAACAGAGGACGGTTAACAGGGACAAAATTACAGCTAGACAGGGGGAAGGCTTCCAAGGTCTATAGCACAGTAGGGTGACTGTAGTTCCTAATATTGTATGTTTCACAGTAGCTAAAAGGGAGGATTTGGAATGTTTCCAACTCAAAGAAATTATACATGTTTGAGGTGATAGATGTACAGGCGACCATGATTTGATCACACACTGTGTACCTTTACCGAAACATCACACAAAACTCTAGGAACGTGTAGTTATTATGTGTCCGTTTTTAAAAATCTCACTTCTGTTATGTCATCAGGTTTATACAAGTCAATATAATTCATTCTATGTATGGACTCTTGATTAATATGACAAATGATATTTCCTCAGCCTGTCTCCCTGAGAGAGAAAGAGGGAGATTAATGGAACATCTCCTTGGTAAATAGTTGAGCCAATAGGAATTTCAATTTCAAAGAATCTCTGGAAGTCAGCCCACTGTTCCTCAACACTGCACTGTGGCTGCTAAGGAAACAGCTGCTGAGCACGTCCCTGGATATACCATTGACATGTGTTGTGTGTGCTGCAAACTAGAACTACTTGGCTTAATTTAAAACATACTTCAGGAATCATTAGTGCCACACAGGACACTGGAGAACAGCAGAGCCTGCCCCAGACCACATCAGCCTTCATGGTGGTGATCACCTTTGTCCTAGCATTCCAGTGTAGCCCCCTCATTAAAAGGGGCTTAGTGAATCCGTGTCTTGCTGTCTGACCTGCACTGTGTTTTCACTCATGCTCCATTGGTCCTGTAGTTTTGTGTGTGTGTGTCTCAAGACTGGATTGAATGCTAATTGTTATCGGATTGTTAAAGTAACTATTTTAAAAGCACTTTGCTCTGCAGTGCAATAACATATCCATTATGGCCTGTATAGCAATTAGTGTTATTTTTAATCACTCAATTAGATTAAATTCTGCCTCCATGGATTTTTCCTAATTCAATAACATTATTTTTTGCACCTGAAAAATATTATAATATCTTTCAGAAATAACCCTTAAAACACTAGGTATGACCCACATTCTCCTAATTACCAATGTCCCAAGAGGATATACGGAACAGTTTCAAAACAATGCAGCATATTCTATAATTCTTTTGAATTTTTAAAAATTTATTTGAAAGAGGCAGACACAGTCAGAGATCTTACATCATCTGATTTACTCTCCAAATGCCCACAGCAGCTAGGACTTTGTCAGGCTGAAGCCAGGAGCCAGGGATTCCATCCAGGTCTCCAAGTGGGTAGCAGGAACCCAGGCACTCGGACCATCATACCCTGCCTCCCAGATGCATTAGTGGAAAGCTGTATTGGAAGTAGAGACAAGGTTGGGTCCCAGGCACTCTGATATGAGATAAAGATGTTACAAGTGGTGGCTCACTTCTCCCATATGTGCACACTTGGAAATATTGCCCCCGCCTCTTCCAGTCTTTTTCCCTCCCCCACTATTCCTTTGCACCTGGGAGGCATTCGTCTTCCCAAGTATGCCCAGGCACACTCTCTGCTTGTCTGGGCCCCCAAAACTCCCCAGGGCTCTGTCAGTCCAACTGGGACAGAGGTGAAAGTGAGGCTGCTGAGCAAGGAGCTGCCTGAACTGATGGCAGCAGAACTGTGTTAACCTGGAGCAGATACCGTGGGGGATCTAGCCTCGCTCCCTTCAGCCAGAGCTGCACTGCTTTCCTGCCATTTTATCAGCACTGAAATGCTTGCAGTATAGGGAGCCAGGCTGTGGGGTGTTTAAAACATGGGTCTTAGGCCTTCCGCTCAGAGGTGGTTGCTTGCCTTGTCCCTACAGTTGTCCAGAGGAGGAGCACTGTATGGTGCACAGTGCCCAGTGGGTAAGCATCAGCACTGGGCAGGAGGCGGAGGAGCTGGGGGAAAGGGGGCTCCCTTGTGGCTTCTGAGGGCAGGAAGGTGTGAGACTGGGCAAACCTTGAATGCACTGAACAATTTCAGCAGGCTCTGAGCTGTAGCAGGTGCCTTGTGTGATACCTGGCCCTAGGGTGGTGAGGAAAGAGGATGGTTGCCTGGACAAGAAGATCCTCTTGGAGAAGGGGGCCAAAGGTGGGGACTCTGAATTGACCCTTGCCAGGCAAGTCTTTTTCTCTGTCTAGGAGGGCCATCCCTCTCAGATGTGAAAACATCACAATTAAAAAACTATGCTTATTACAAGGAGCAGAAAAAGCAGCCCCTGAAAACGCAGCTGTGTAGGAGTTACAAACTCAGTTATCCTTTAACTCATCACCCCAACCCCTAAACAAATAATCTGACTGCCAGTCCCTTTCTGTTGTCTCTCTGGGCATCCCTACCCTCATTGTCTCTGCCCAGTCCCCTAAAAAGGCACGTTGGGTGAGATGGTGAGGTGGGAGTCGCTGGGCGTTCCACCCTGACAGCCTGTATTTAAACTTCCAGCCAAGACTGACACGGCTTTCAAGGCATTCCTGGATGCCCAGAACCCCAGGCAGCAGCACTCATCCACACTGGAGTCTTACCTCATCAAACCCATCCAGAGGATCCTCAAGTACCCACTTCTGCTCAAGGAGCTGTTCGCGCTGACCGACGCTGAGAGTGAGGAGCACTACCACCTGGACGGTGAGCCTGGCCCCTGACCCCCCAGCCTCACTCGTGCCCCGTCTCCCCGAGCATCTCTCAATAGCCCTTGCATTTCTCCTGTGCTCCTCCAGTGGCCATCAAGACCATGAACAAGGTTGCCAGCCACATCAATGAAATGCAGAAAATCCACGAAGAGTTTGGGGCTGTGTTTGACCAGCTGATCGCTGAACAGACTGGGGAGAAGAAAGAGGTATGGATACCTGCCAGGAAAGCTGGGGTTGGCCTTGATTTTTTTTATTATTATTTTTAAGGTGTTATTTGTGAGTGGAATAGTTATGATGACAGTGTTTCCATTGTGGAAAGTTTTGCCCTTAATCAAAGCAACCATGTGAATTTTCTTCTTTAATTTTTAATGCAAAAAATGTGTATCTGATGCCAGCCTCTGTCTTGGGATCTTTGGTGACACTCCCATTCTACTTATAAGGTTATTCCTTTATAGGCCGAGGCTACATTCCCAGAAATTAGAATGATGTCTGGCACATTATAGGTGCTCAGTATTTGTGGAATGAATGCAAATTTCAGTGGACTTGGATTTTTGTTTGTTTGTTTAAGTCTACCTAAAAGAAGCTTACCAAGAAGAAACAGTGATAGGAACTGGTAGACTGAGAAGGGCTTAGAGTGAGCTAAAAATTGTACCCATGTTGCGGAAAAGAGCTTATGTAAATGAGATTGCTAACGAGACAAATCAGAGGACTGTGGCATACAGCAATGAGCATTAGTGTTTCTATACCCACATCCTCTTAGAATGTTGTACTCTGCATTGTTTTCCACCTTAAAGGCAGGCAGTGCAAAGCTGGGAGGGAGCCTGAAGAATAGCACATGGGCTGTGATTAGGAGGAGGCCTGAAGGCAGAAGGGGCAAGGCCAACCTGGCTGTTTAGTCTAGACTAGAGAAGAGAGCATATCTTCAGAGATAGAAGGGTCATTTTCTGGGTTCATGTTCATGTCCTCGGTGAAACAAATTTCAGACTGTTAAAAAGACAGTTTCAGAAAAAGGTGAAGTCATGCTACAGAGATACAAAATGAACACATGATAATGAGTTTATTTTACTCACAGGACAAGAAGGAACGCAGGCAGTTGTTATAAGTAGTGTGCGGAAAAGTTAAAATTGCATATTTATCGGTGGAGTAAAGAAGTATTGAGCTGGATTGTAAATGGTGACAAACCGGCTTTTACATAGCTGGACAAAATTCATCAGACCTGATAGGTAATTTAACCTATCAACTTGTAGGAAAGATGGACAAATAGAGTTGCTTAGAATATAGTTCTCACTTCTTGTAAAACATTTATAATATGAAACAATTATGCTTTTTAAGACCAGAAGAAAACCCTCCAATATCAAGATATTCTTAAATTTTTGATGTTTATTTTGAGTTAAAATTATTATATATATGTTTAAATAGTTATTTTGAAAGTAAATTTGTACTTTTAAAAATATTGAACACAGATTTTTTTCATTTTAAATGATTATGTAATCTCATTGTATGTCTAAACAATGATTTACCTAATTTCTATCATTAGATAATTCTTGGCTTCATTTAGTGATGGCTAATCAATAATACAAAAAACATTTATGATCTCAAGATACCCTCCACATACTCCCAACTTTAGTTTATTTAATTTTGACAGAAGTAGAAGCACTTTCATTATATTTTGTTATAATTCATTAAGTGTCAAATCAATTTCTGTATTTTGATAGCCTTAGGAGCAAATGGCCATGATGCTAAAGTCAGAAAGGTGATATGGATCATGGTTTGCAAAGAATTTAGGAAAACTTGTGTATGATAAAAAATCAGAGGCTATAAAAGGGAATGCGACTTAGGAGACAGGAGGTTCTTTAAGATGAAATTCTAAGAACCAAGTAATAAATCATCCCAGTGAGGGACCAAGAGATAAAGTGCTATATTTCCTTGTGAGCTATGATTGTGAAAAGAAATGTACAAAAGATGGCAAGAGGGGCACTTGACTGGGTACACTATTGAAGAGTAGGAACATTTTATATTGCCATCAGGAGATTGAAAGCCCAGAAAATTAAAGCTTGGAAAAAAATACCAAAGAGAGCCACAAAAGATTATCTTTGAGCAGAATAAGATGAGCAAGCAGGAAATTGGCTCCGGTGGGAACTGATTACTTACTCAAAGGAAATTGATTACTCAGAGGAGAATGACTCAAGTCCCATTTGATCATTTTTCTCCATTGAGGAGAATGGTCTTCAAACTGGAAAAGATATAGTGGCCTTGCTTGCAGAAGAGTGAAATCCTAGGGGAATGACTCTTGGGGAAATAGTTGGGTCTATGCCACCTCCTGCAGCAGTGTATTGGAACTGCCACGAGGATGGAGGCAGACAACTGGGTACATGTACAAGTTATACCCCACCCCTGGCCATTTTTTAAAGATCATGTGTTCTTCCATACAAGTGTGATACACTACACATGCCCATGGAGGGATCATCCGTTCTTCATTCAGCTTCCCTTGTCCTCAACTAAAGTGAAATCAAATCATCTTTGATGTGAATTGAAAGAAAAAAATAATAATTTGATTCCCTTGCTTTCCAGAAAATCAAACTCATCCATGGAAATGTCCGTAGTTTTCTGGGGTGATCTTTGTTGCTGATGCCCTATAGTAATTCCTTGGAACATTGTCTGTATGTGGACATGAGAAGTCTCCACATGTGTAGATTGATTTTGACAGATTTACTGCCTGTGGATTTCAGAGCCCTGGTTTTTACCTTCTTGTCATCTTCTTGAAATTATAGTAGAGTTTATATCCTGAGTTTTTCCTACTTCAGGAGATTGATTTTTCAATTTGGAAATTTCATATGAATGAAAGGATTTTTTTTTTTTTTTGACAGGCAGAGTTAGACAGTGAGAGAGAGAGATAGAGAGAAAGGTTTCGCTTTCCGTTGGTTCACCCCTCCCCACCCCCCAAATGGCTGCTGCGGCCGGCGTGCTGTGCCGATCCGAAGCCACGAGCCAGGCGCTTCCTCCTGGTCTCCCATGCGGGTGCAGGGCCCAAGGACCTGGGCCATCCTCCACTGCACTCCCGGGCCACAGCAGAGAGCTGGACTGGAAGAGGAACAACCAGTACAGAATCTGGCGCCTCGACCAGGACTAGAACCCGGGGTCCTGGTGCTGCAGGTGGAGGATTAGCCTGTGAGCCGCTGCACCGGCGAATGAAAGGATTTTTTTCGTTAAAAATTCATCACATTGTTTCTAGCTCAAACATTTCTGAGACATAATGAGGCTCTCATTTGCCATTGGAGAAGTTAACTAGATGTTATAATGTCTTAAGACTGTTGTTTCAAATGGAAGTGATTTTTTTTTATTGAGACACTGACAAATATTAGTCTTTTAAAATTGGGATCTGTTGTTTTCTGTCTTTTTTTTTTCTTTTTAATTATGTCATTTAAATTGAAAAGTAACAAGTATACTAGACATTCTTCAACTTAAAATGAGATTACACCCTGATAGCTCCATCATCATAAGTCAAAAATATCATAAATTTAGAAGTCATTTAATACCCTGCTAAATTCATGATAAATTTGAAAAAAGTCAGAGGTATAACCATTGTTAAGTTGAAGACTTCTGTATTTATGGTATACAACATGATGTTGTAATGTGTATATACACTAAATCAGGCTACTTACTGTAAGCCTTACCTCACATACTGGAGCGAATATTTTTAGAACAGTAGTTCCATGAAGTAAAGTCACAAGATCCTGAGGATGGATCACATGGCCCAGTAAGTTGTGCCACATCTCTCTTTTCAGGTTGCAGATCTGAGCATGGGGGACCTGCTTTTACACACCACTGTGATCTGGCTGAACCCACCGGCCTCCCTGGGGAAGTGGAAAAAGGAGCCAGAATTGGCAGCCTTTGGTATGTAGCAGAGAGTGCTTTGAAGAGGAGGAAAAAATGACTCATTTTTCAAAAGAACATTTCTCAGATCTGATTTATTTTAATAAAGCTAGTTACAGTTACCTGAATTGATCTTGCTGCTGTAGCCACCAATATGTCACAAATAGTGCATTAAACCTTAACAGTTGCATTAGTGAGTGGATGTGGCATCTCTCAAGTCTATTAGAGGAATAAACATAATTTGTAAAGTAATAGAAAAGAACTTTTCTTCTCTCTCTCTCTCTCTCTCTCTCTCTGGATGCTGTTCTGAGTATCTTTCCAAAATAGTGGGGTTGATGGTAAATCAAGCAAAATTTAGATGAAAAATCAAGACAAAACCATCTCTGTTTCTGAGACCCCAAACTCTCCTGTCCCGGACTTGCTGCTGTGTGTGCTGCCAGGACATAGAATGCCAGTTCTCACTCAACTCTTCCTTTTTAAATATTTTATTTATTTATTTATTTGAGAGGCAGGGTTAGAGACAGAGAGAGGGAGAAGCAGAGAAAGGTCTTCCATGCACTGATTCACTCCCCAAATGGCTGCAACAGCCAGAGTTAGCTGATCCAAAGCCAGGAGCTTCTTCCATCTGGGTCTCCAATGTGGATGCAGAGGCCCGAGGACTTGAGCCATCTTCTGCTTCTTTCCCAGGCCATAGCAGAGAGCTGGATCTAAAGGGGAGCAGTGGGATACAAACCGGCACCCTTATGGGATGCCAGTGCTGCACATAGAGGCTTAGCCCACCACGCCGTAGTGCTGGCCCCCTTAGCTCAGCTCTTGCCGTGGCTCTGGGTGCCTGTACCAGTGAGTGGTGAGCTACCAGTCGGTCACTCTGGGATTGATCCTGATGAAAGCAGAGAAGTTTGTGGATGGTGTGTGTTTTGGTAAACTGGTTCTGATGGTACAGTGGTTGGAGTTAGAGATCTCGTGTGATTATTTTGTAAGATGCATTTTGTGAGAGAGCAAAACCACGCATTCGTGCCCTGGGAATGGTGCACAGTTCAGGAAGTATGCCTGTGATTGCAGTGCCAGTGCTCGTGTGGTATACTGCAGCTTTGATCATTTGTTTTTTGTTGCTTTTTTTTCTTACCATTCCCCTAGGAGATTCATGGGTAGGGCAACCACATAAAGGGATTTTGCTGTTTACCATTCTCTTACTTCACATCATGTTTCTGGACGTGGGGGAGGGAGATTGCTTACGGCACCTTTAACTGAATTCTTAATTTTCTCCCTCCATGATCTGAACAAAGTTTTCCCAAATGGAACATGCTGACGATATTAAAGCCAATGTTCAATACACAGATTTATTGGACTTCCTACTTAGATCACTTCGGTTTCGATCAAAACTCAGTGATATTCCTAAAATTCCAAAAAGCTCCAGGGGCTTTTGATGCCATTTCATCGAAAATTACCAAGGAGGGACCGGTGTCTGGTGCGGTGGTTGACACTGCGTGGCACACCTACATCCCATATCCGAGTGCCTGGTTACTTAGTGTTCTGGCTCTGCTTCTGATCCCGGCTTCCTGCTAATGTGCACCCTTGGAAGGCAGCAGATGATGATTCAAATGCTTGTGTCCTTGCCACCCAGGTGGGAGACCCAGACTGAATTCCAGGCTTCTGGCTTTGACTTTGCTTAGCCCTCACTGTTGCAGCCATTTGAGGAGTGAATCAGGAAATGAAAGATCTCTCGCTGCCTTCCAAGTAAATAAAAGTAAATAATAAAATAACTTTTTAAAAATGCCAAAGGAGCATGTCCATGTACAGGGAAGACAAAGGAGTACTGTGCCTTTTAACAAATTGGGGATGTTGGATGAGGTGGGTGCTTTGCAGGCAGCATTTGCTTGCTTTTCAACATCACCACTGGTGCTTCTCACATTGTGATTTCTTCTTGAGAAGTCTGGGATTTCGCTGATCCTTCCTGGTGGGTCATTTACGGAATGCACCATGCCATAGTACAAGGCCCACTCCACCTACCTGTTTCCCATGTTGGGCTGCATCCCAGCAATATCAGAGTGCAACGTTTGGATTTTTTCATGAACTGTCCCCTGAAGTTTACAGATTGCCTGCAGTTAGAAATAAACAGAGTTTAGAGTAAGAAAATAACTCATATGGGGAAAAGGGATGGTTGACAAAACTTTTTTCCAAGGGCTACAGACCAGGAGGCCACTATAGCCAAAGCAGATGTAAATAAGTAGACAAATGAGGTGGCTGTGTTAATAGGTGGCAGGCAGGCCTCGATTTGGCCCTTGATGCTGAATTTGCCAACCTGTGGTAGAAATATTTCAGAACAACAGTCCTGAGGTTTTTGGTTGTGTGGACTCCGTGTCCCTCTTTCCCTGCCTTGTGGGTAGTTCACAAGGGTAGGTGAGTTTGGCTGACTCCCCGGAAAGTGGGCCTGACACTGTCCAGACTATGAATGGGTACTGTGTCCCCCAGACCCGCACACCCAGGTGACAGCAAACTCTGTAGGGGCCACAGTTACCAAGCTAGAAACTGCAGGTCTTGGTGATCAGAGGCAGGCTTGGATCCTCTCCAGTTACAGTAAAGAGAGAGGGGAAGGTTGAACTTGAGATTATGAACAACAATTGACTGTAGGCCTCATAATGAGCTTATTCATAGGAGATCTTAAATAAGGCCATTAAAGGTGATAGGTTCGACAGTTTGGGTGTGATTTCGAATAGCAAAGCAGAGCTGGCAGAGCCTTGAGACGTGTTTTGAAATAAGAGTGTTGCTGTGAGGAGGGTAGGTTAATTGCCATCGATCAAGCAGGTGTCAGGATAAAACACTGTTGTCTCTCTGTTTTGATTTAAACCTCTAATCTTGGGAAACTGCAGTTTTCTTCTGAAACTGAAGTTGACTTGCTGCCAACCCAGCACCTTGAGGTTTTACTCACAGAGCGGCCAGTGTGCATTGAATGTTGATGGTCATAACTTTAAAAGAAAAAAAAAAGGATAAGTTACATGGCTTGTCCAGGTTTCTGCTGAGATGGGTGTTGTGGGAATCCCCTTAGGGCCATAGAGAGGATACTTTAGGCTGGCGAGGAGGCTGGCAGGAGTGTTAGGGAATCAAGGCTATGTGTACAGATTTGGTAGCCATTTAAGGGGAGATGGAGATGTTTATAGCTCAGGTCTTTGTACCATGCCGAGTCACTCCCTGGTCCTCCCCTGTGATTCAAGGTGAAGGCAGACTGTGGTGGAGGAGGTCCCCAGTGTTGGGGCCTCTGACACTGGGGTCACTGGGTCCCCTCTCCTGGCAAGACCTCTCACTGTGTGGCTTCTGGTTTCTGAATACTTTGTGGTAGATGGAGGAGCTCCTTAGGTTGCCGTTGCTCGGCCCCTGTCCAGACCTGATGTGGCCTCCTCAGGCCTGTGTGAGCCTCTGGAAGGAGAGCTCCTGTCTGTCCTCCAGGATCCCGAGGGGTCAGATGCTGTGAGGGATGAAGGGCTCAGGGCAGTCCAGCCCCAGCTGGCTGCACCTCAAAGCTTATTTCCCTGCAGTGAAGATCAGAATGACCCTATAAAACTTCCTAAATGGGATGAAGAATGAACCAGGATCTTGGGGCTGGTCTCCAATTCTCGGCCCACCCCAAGAATTCTCTAAATGTTTGTTCCCTGTGTGATTCTGTGAAGGGCCCCAGATGTGCTAGCTCGTGTCTCTTCCAGCTGCTACATGACGTGGCCATTCCTCGGGCTCAAAATACGAAGGGACATGGAGACTGCCGTAGGGTGTTTGGCCAGCTATAAACTGAGCGTCTCACAAATAATGGAAGTTGGTTGCAACCATTGTGAAGGCTGGGAAGCCCACAATTCTGCTTTGTCATAGATGGAGCCTTGTAGCTTCATCTCAAGTGTGAAGGGAGCAGGATCTCTTTCCTGGGCCTCTTCTATGAGGGTGCTAAGCCCACTCATGAGGGGAGAACCCTCAAACCTGATCACCACCTTTGGAACTATCACACCAGAGATGAATTTCCACCTGGGAATTCGGGAAAATGAAAACATCCAGAAATGGGGCACCTTTTTCTGAATGGGGCCATTCAGATATTTATAACATCATTCACAGGCCATACAAAATTATCAACTTAAAAATTAACCTGCTGTAGAGTTGCTGAATTTTTAATCCTGCCTGCGGTTTCCTTGGCAGGGCCAGACCAAATGGTTTCCCAGGCCTTCTGGCCAGTGGGCCGGATGTTCCCCACCCCTGACAAGGCAGAGACCCTGACACAGAGAAGCAAGGATGGGCTGGAGTCCCCCTTCCCTTTCTTCTGGATGCCAACTCCTCTTCCCTCTCTAGGAGCAATCAAAATTGCTCTGTGTTAAACATGCTTGGCATTGCTTACAGAATTCTCTGGGCGATTATGCATAACTCCACTGTATCTCTCCACCCCCGAAAGAATGTAAGAATAACATTACATATATTTTACTCCTAAAGAGCTTACTATGATTCAGTCTGTTTGGAAGGGATGCATTGTACTCTGTTTCATAAAATAGTTTTTATTTCTTTAGGTCAAAAAGAGAAATTATATTTCCTGAATTGTGAATTCTCTCTCTGTGTGTCTATATCTGTAGGAGCTTGTTTTTTATAAATATAAGTCACTCAGCACTTGTGCTGTTATTCTTAAAGACATTTTTGTTATTCCTCCAGTTATGGGATTAGTACATTATATAGAAGATACATCAGTTGAAGTTTTGTCTTGAAATGAAGTCATACCTTAAATGCTGTGTTTTACTCAGAAGTTTCAGAGGAGAAAGGTTCTTTCCATCTATGTAGTCTTTCTGTCTTTATCTTAAACCTGCAAGGTTTCCTCTGAGTGGCTTCCTGAATTGCAACATTGCAGTGGATGAACGGAAGGGTCGGGAAGGGATCACTTCCTGAGCTGTCGTGGTCCTCTTCATTGCTTTAGGTTTTGTTACCACACATTAACACAATGAAGGGGAGAACCCATGCATTTCATGCCATGACTGTCTTTATTCTGTTGTTCCCAGTCTTCAAAACAGCTGTGGTCCTTGTGTATAAAGATGGTTCCAAACAGAAGAAGAAGCTGGTAAGAAGTCTTCTGTTATCTCGTAGCTCTAAAGTATCGCTCTTTTATCTGCTTCTCAGTTGTAGCTGTGCAATTCCAGCCCATTGTTGGAATGAGCCTTTGTGTGGTGTCCTTTGTAATTCCCTAAGGACTTTTGAAGAGATACATGTCCTGCCTTCTCTCAGGCACTCTCATATTTAGGGCATGAACGTGAACAAGTATTGTCTTACCATGGCCCGAAAGAACTTTCCTAAGGGTATTCTTTCTTTGGTCTATTGCCCTGTTCTTGTTTTCCTCCTCCTTCTCATGTCTCCCTCTTACCTGTATTTGCTTAGCAGCCTTATTTGCCTACTCTCAGTCTAGGCAAGATGGACAAAAAGGCGCATTGAAGGTGAAGAGCCTTTGGGTATGCACTGGGCTTACTGCGGTATAGAAAATGTAGGAAGTGCTGCTGAGTGATTGGATTGTTCTCAAACAGCTGGTTCCTTCTCTTCTATAGGTAGGATCTCACAGGCTTTCCATTTATGAGGAGTGGGACCCCTTCCGATTTCGACACATGATTCCCACCGAAGCTCTGCAGGTTCGAGCTTTGGCAAGTGCAGGTAAACTCTGCCATGTGCTGGGTGCGTGTTTCTGGTGTGCGTGTGTGAATTGTTTGTCTGAATCCAAACCTTCCATCTAACTACCCTACCATCCACTTTTTCTACTAAGCTTAACTCTCTTTCCCCTCTTTCTCTCCATTGCCTCTTATTTGCCTAAACATTTGTTAAATATTGAGTGAATGAACTGAAAGAATGGCTATGTAATGTCTTCAAAATTGTCCCAAGAATTACTCATTCTGTTGTATATATTAGTGATATTACTGTGACCAACCTCTGAGTAGGAGCAGGCAGACAGAAGCCATGTAAATTACTCTCTTGTCTTTTGATCCAGAGACCCAAAAAGCCCAGTGCACAAAAAGCCCTTGAATACATGGGTTTGCCCCAAGCCTTACAAATTTTCATATTCGGTATTAGTGGGAAGGCTTTTGAAATATTTTCTTGTGATTCAAACAGAAATGAAGCAAGTTTTGGGACTGTGATGTAGAGATAGCTAGATGATGCTTTAAGTGTGTGAGGAGTGAACTTCAGCAGGGTATTAACTGGGGAATACAGTATTTTTTTTTGGGGGGGTTTTTTGTTTTTGTTTTTTTGTTTTTGGCATGGTTCTTTTCAGTTTGTTGCAAGAAGGAGTTACACTAGTCCAAGTTAAAAGCAGACCTCAAATGATTACATTATACGAGGTGTGAGGTTTCTAAACTTGTGCCAAGGGATGGGAGGTGGTTCTACTCAGGTCATTGCAAGGAATCCTCACTTAAGCTTCTGAGAATCACAGGCACTTAAGACCCATGAACCTTCAGCTGGTTGTCCATAGCCAGTTCTGGGCTCTATCAGGAACTGGCATCTGTTCTTGCTGTGGTTTCGGGTCACCCTGTAGCTGAATGACTTCTCCATATTCTGAAGGAGCAATCACAGGCCCACTGCAGGCAGATTTCCTCTTAAACACCCTCACCAGTTTCTTAGTCATCAGCGATCCCTTGGACAGTAGTAAGGGTCCTCTTGCCGTTTCTCTTTGGAATTCTTTTTATGAATATAATCCTCAGTGCCAGCAGGAAGCAGGTCATCGCCCTTACTTGCATCAGCAGAGAAATTGAAAGAGGTTCTGGCTGGAAGACATACGATATAATTCCTTTCCCTCTGTGGCAATGGCCTGCAGAGGGATGGGGCGTTGGGAAGCGAGGGGGCTCCAGGGGAGGCTGCTGAGTCCTCGACAGCCCCTCAGTGACTGGGCAAAGAGCAGTATTCTTGTGACTATAGAAACTAAGCCCTCATCATGGGGCTTAATTTGAGGCCAAATTCTAGAGAAGAGTCACCATGCCTCTGGCCATACCCTGGAAGGAGCCCCTTTGGGAATCAAGAGGAAATTCTTTGGCCACATCTGTTCCTTGTCCCACTCAGCTTTCAGGGAGTGAAAGAGAGGGCCTGGAAGTGGATAGCTGCTGGTGCATCATGGATGGGTATTTCTGTCTAATGCTCTGCCACCCAAGGTGAGCACTAAGGTGTTTCTGTCCCGTTTGTGAGGCTTAGCCTGTCCTTGTTTCCACCTATCACCTCCATGAGCAGTAAAACTAGATCTGACCTTCCTGAAACTAACCCGCCTTAGTCCAATGTCATGAGAAGAAACCTCTTGCAATATTTGGTTTACTTTCAATTATTCCTCCAAAATTCAACTAGATGTATCTTCCTTCACAGATACTATGCTTTGCACTAGGAAAACTTAAATGCAAAACCATGCAGGACAAATATATTTGGCATGACTATTTGCTTTAAGAAGCTTCTTTCTAAGATTCCAGCATAGTGATTTACCCTTTTACTTATGATTTCATTTGCATAGTTGAGTTATAGGTAAATTTATAAAAACATATAAATTGTACAATGATACAATAGCTTTCAAGGTTTGGACACTAATATACTGATTTTATTATCCTTTAAGATCTTAGCTTATAGATTATCTAGTCCTTATACCATGTTTATAAATGGAAAAGCTTATTTCTCTAACAAATGACACGTTTCTTAACTAGGAATTTCGCCTTCATTGAAGACTTTAAGTTTTGAAAACAAAGCCATCTTTGTGATATGGCATTCCATTCTCTCTATTTTTCATTCAAATCCAGTTTGAAACCATCAAGATGAAAGTATGCTAGAACTGACTTAGTCAATTAAAGACCAGGCAAGATGTCCTTTGTGTCGAAACACATTCCAGTGGATTTGAGAATCAGAATGTGGAATTTCTAGATTTTTATCTTCGTTTGGGAAAGTCTGTAAGATGCTCTGCAGATGATCATGGTTGGGTTTAAATAATGCAGCCACAGTGAGTTGTTTGTGATCAGGGTTCTGAATCACGGGTGAGAATGACATTTCACAATATGCACTTTTAGTGTCTGCAGTGAATTGTTCCTTTAACAAATACTTTCTTCATATCTTAAATAATAGTGTTGTAGGCATTGCAAAGTTTAGAAATTATAGCTGTCCCTTGGTATCCATGGAGGATTGGTCCCAGGACTCCCCTTGGATACCAAAATCTAAAGCGATTCAAGTATCTTATATTATAAAATGGGGTAGTATTTCCATAGTACCTACACACATCCTCCTGTATATGTTAAACCATCTTTAGATTACTTATAATATCAAATATGATGCAAGTGCTATGTAAATAGTTGTTACATTGTTTAGGGAACAATGAGAAGGAAAAAGCCTGTACTTCATCAATACAATTTTTTTTTGTCTGCTTTTGATTTGCCATGGACTGAATCCCTGTGGATGTGGACCATCTCAATCCTGAGGGCCAGCTGTATGCAAAGTGCAGCCCTTGCCCTCCCAGTGGGCACTGTGGGAAGTCGGAGGAAGTGGAGCCCCCTTAGGTCTCCAGGGCAGCTTATTCAGAGTATTAGGCCTGGTCTGTTAGGGCTTCTGTCACTAGCCTGATGAAATCTGCATTGGAATCTTGGGCTCTGTTCAATCCAAATGTTGCCAAAACGATTCTTGGCTTAATGAAATAGCTCAGTCAATTGGGCCAGGGCTGAAAGGGTGAGTTTCCCAGGTAACATGATTGACTGATTGGCCTTTCTGACCATCTAGAAGATTTTCAAAGTGTTCTTTTCATAGCATCAGCTAATCTTTGAGTCATGTCAACTCTTTAGATCATGGACAGGAATGAAATATCTTTGGCCTTGTGCCACTCTACCCTATTTGTTCTTAAACCAAAGCATGAAAAATGCTTTTGTGAAAATGTAAATAACTCCATTTAAGACATAACCTAATTCATCCTTGTTTTAATTTATCTAGATGCAGAAGCAAATGCCGTGTGTGAAATTGTCCATGTGAAATCGGAGTCTGAAGGGAGACCAGAGAGGGTCTTCCACCTGTGCTGCAGGTGAGCCTGGCCTGTGAGGTTGGGGCTGCATAGCCCAAGGACTTTGCCTCTGGGCCTTCTGCATTCTACACACCAGCCTGGGAATCCCTGTCTCTGTGTGATGCTCTTGTACATTTGAGGAATTATCACTTATTAGATAACAGTGATGGGAGAAATTAAACTAGTCATATTAACATATAGTCAGTAACCTGATTAATAACCTTGTTTTTTTATTTGAGAGAGAGCGAGCGAGCGGCAGACCAACAGACATGTACATACACATACCATCTACTGGTTACTCCCCAAAGATCTGCAACCAGGAGCTCAGTCTAGGTCTCCCACATGGGTGGTAGGAATCCAATTACTTGAGCCAAAACTAGCCACCTCCCAGGGTCTGCATTAGCAGGAAGTTGGGGTCAGGAGTGAGAGACAGGGTTCAAACCCAGGCACTCAGATGTGTAGGACACTGGTATCACAAATGGATATGGGTTTTTTTTTATGTTTTTATTTATTTATTTTTTATTTTTTTGACAGTGAGAGAGAGAGAGAGAAAGGTCTTCCTTTTGCCATTGGTTCACCCTCCAATGGCTGCCATGGCCGGCGCGCTGCAGCCAGCGCACCGCGCTGATCTGATGGCAGGAGCCAGGTACTTATCCTGGTCTCCCATGGGGTGCAGGGCCCAAGGACTTGGGTCATCCTCCACTGCACTCCCTGGCCACAGCAGTGAGCTGGCCTGGAAGAGGGGCAACCGGGACAGAATCCGGTGCCCCGACTGGGACTAGAACCCGGTGTGCAGGCGCTGCAAGGTGGAGGATTAGCCTAGTGAGCCGTGGCACCGGCCACAAATGGATATGTTAACCACTAAGCCAAAATGCCAACCCCTGGTTAATATCTGTTTAAAAGGAAACAGGAATTTTCAAAAATATTAAGTGTTTAAAAGAGGTCTTTCTTTCCATAGTTACCTTTTGTACATTAGAAGGGCATGGTTGTCTTAGACTGCCATGCTCTGGTGTTTGGTATATTGTTTGTTCTGTAACACTGTGAGGGTGTAGCAGGTCAGTAGGAGAAGGTGATGGCTGGGTGATGGCTTTGCCAGATTCCTTTCAGTTTGAGAAACTTCAAAATGAAGAGGTTGGCTTGTATTGATCACCTACAGGTCTGAAGAGGAAGCTGAACTTACAATGTGGGCTTCTACTTCTTTCTTTTTGGATCCCTCTTCTCCCTCCCTCTCCCCATTGCTTTCTTCCTCTCCTCCTCCTCCATGCAAATTTGCGATGATCTCCCCTAGGCAGCCCAGGATGGATGGTTCTGACAGACAGCATTCTGATAGAATTGGCTTTAAATATGACTCATATTGAATCATACTGCAATTATAGGCTCTCTAACTTATTGAATAATTATGCAGTACTCTATGAACTGAATGAATGGTGGTATACTGTGGATCACCCTCAAAAATAATAGAATCAATCTATTATGATAAGCAGTGATATCTTATGTTATTGCTAGCATAGTTAGAGGGCACATTTACCCAGAAAGAACTGTGCTAAGAAGCCTACGTTTATTCATTCATTTGATCTGACCAAAGACCTGTTGCTATTCCATTTCACTACCAAGGCTCATAGAGGGCCCTTTGCCCTCTAAAGCCCAGTGCTCTAGAAAATGAACGCTAGATTCAAACTCAGGTGGGTTCAACTTCAAAAACCTGTGTTTTGTGTTGCTACATTACATTTCTGTTGAGTGGCAGGGTCCACAAAGGGAAGTTCCCCCAGGAAACTGTCAGGAGCAGAATTGCAAAGTTCTTGATCATCATCCTCATTAGGCCAATTGCTTTGTGTTTTATTTGTGGGTTCAGTAGGCAACTCCTAAAGATGTGATATTTGCTGTTAATAAGGCATACCAAGTGGAAGGTACCTGAGTAAAAAAAAAAAATTGAGAACTTAATAAGAAAATTAACTCTTACCTAAGAAACACTTTTTTATCCTGGGAATTAAGGATGTAGGAAGATTAATATTTACATGCCATGGGAAGAGTTGATATTTCAACTGGAAGGAGGCCAATGTTAAAGGAAGGTAAAGATTTTAGGACATAGTTTTTGGGTACTCTATTGAGCCACAAGAATCCTCAAAACATTTTAGTGACCAAAAGCCTCTGCATTAAGTGCCAGGAGCAGAACCTGGCAACAGCTTGATTCAAAACCCCTGTGTCCATTGATTTATTCTTTAAAGGATTGCTCTGCCCCAGATCAGCTGCAGGGGATGAACTGCAAAGCATTCAGGGGTGGTAGTTCTTGATATGAGCTACAAAAACATGACTCGGAATTGGAGTCAGGGCCTTAGTCTTTAGCCCCTGGCCCTGGGCTGTACCTGACGACCCCAGAAGCTCACCATTTCCCTAATTCGTGTGAATCTTCTTTTCACAGCTCCCCAGAGAGCCGGAAGGATTTCCTGAAGGCTGTGCATTCGATTCTGCGTGATAAGCACAGACGACAGCTGCTCAAAACCGAAAGCCTCCCCTCCTCCCAGCAATATGTCCCCTTTGGAGGAAAGAGATTGTGTGCGCTGAAGGGGGCCAGGCCAGCCATGAGCAGGGCAGGTACTGTGGGGATTAAGACATTCAAGATCCCTGTCACCCCCACTCCACTGTAGAACTCAAGTGAGCTTGATCTTCTTGTTGAGCAAGAGTTAGGTGTGGCCTTGTGGGGGCAAACACAGGAGCACTGTTCTTCCCCGGCGTAAGGCTCCTTGCCCTTGCCCCCTTCCCAGGGACTCCCTGGGCACCCATCCTTTGTTTATTTCTCTTGCCCTCCCTTAAGCCTTCCCTTTGCTGCCTTCTTCCTTTTGGCTGGTGAGCTCCTCTGTCATTTGCCGAGCCAGGAAGCCAAAGCATCCTCTTTCTAGAGGGTCTGTCTTAGCCTGCTTGCGGAATGAGAGTCGCTGCTTTGCATGACAGCCAGCTTGTTTAGCAAAAAGCAGTGTGTCGTGTCTCGGCAAGGTCTCTGACAGCACAGCCATGCCTGTTTTCAGGAAGGAGTCCAGGTTGGGTCGGCCAGATGACACACCCAATTGTTACCTTAGCCTGTACTTGCAATTTTATTTTTAGTCTCAGTGTTAATCTGGGGAAGCTTTGAGCTGCTATTGAAAAGAAGAATCCAGAATTAAAATGGCCCCAGAGTAGATATTCTTATAGGACCTATTCCATCACTTTGGAGCAGTGAGGAAGGAAGATCAATGCATCCATCCATAAATTGCAGCAAAATAAGTGGAAGAAGAAAGATATTTTCATACTACTTAGGTACTTAAAGACACCAGTATATCAACATTTTTATCACTCTGTTCTTAAGTGATAGAAGCCCAAAATTTTTCAGGGAGAATTCCAATAAATGAGGCTTTCTTTGCATTTGGCAAAAAGTTTCTACCTTTGTCCTAATTCCCCTTGCACCTATCCTCAACTGTGTTGAAGAGGTATGCGTAGAACTGTGAAAGGATGAAGGTTTTCATAGGCCTAACCTCTCTAGCCCGACATGGGATATCACATTCTTTAAGCACCTTAAGTTTAATTAATGTTAGGGGGTTGGTTATATCTGTTCTCCAGTCAGTTGATACATGTTCACTGAAAAACCTAGTGCAATGATACTCACCCTTTGTGCTGGGTTCTGCAGGGTATCTAGTCATGTGTCCCTCTATACCACAATTTTTTATGGGGTTCTCATGGAAGAACAATTCTTTGATCTTTTGTAACTCATTATAGAGAATTATATCTTGGAATTATCTTACCTGCCCCTCCTATTGTTGGCCAGGTTTCACTTGTCAATCAAAGAACCCAAATTCAGGGCTGTATTTACTTTGAAAGTAAACATATTTAGTCTCTAGGACACTCAGGAGTTTTCTTGCTGAGATCCTTTGGGAAAAAAAAAAAAAAAAAACAACCCACCACCCACCCCATGAATACCAAGAAAAAGCCTTTATGTCATAGCCTGTTGGAGTTGACCAACTAAAAGATTTTTCTGCCTTGATGGTTCATTTTTGGCTGAAGAAAGTCTGTGTCATTCTTCCTTTTGAGATACTCCACTGTAGACAGAATATTCAGTTGTGTTTAATGATTTGAAAATGGTGCTTGTGTTAGCTCAGTGCCAGCTTAACAATAAAGACTCAAATACTCAAATTACACTTGTCCCACTAAGAGACGAAGAACCAAAAAGGTTAGCTGGCAGTAATTAACCTTTTAATGGAGAGTAGATACTCAGGTTTCATTCTGCATTGTCATGAATACCCAGGCACTTTATTTTTGTTTTTCCTCTGTCTTGCTTGGATAGGACAATAAAGACAAGTATCCTGCCTCCGTGCTTGGTCTGAACATACTACACCTCTGTAGTAACCCAATGAAAATGAATTTCAGACTTCTAGAAATACCTACCATCTGTGTGCTGTAATTAGTATTTTTCTCTATTTTCATTATCACATAGCTATCCATCTAACATCCATCAATCCATTTTATTTTAGATATATTCCAAGATGCAGACATTAGTACACTTTACCCCTAAATATTTCAGCATGCAGATCCTTCACAAGTATTTCCACCAGCCCAATTTTGAAGTGGGGTAGTTCTGATGCTGAGTGCAGAGAGCCAGGCTCCACTTCGGTGGTGTTGATATAAAATTGGACAGGATTTTGTTGTATCCTCCCCAAAGAGTAGGAATATATTTTTTCCCTATTTTACTTATAAATGTTTTTTCTCTCCCTCTTTGAGCAAGAGTGGTATGTATCCTTTTGTTCCCTGTTTTGAGATGGTGCACACACACTCAGGAATGGTGAAGGCTGCATTGGGGTCTGAGAACGAAGATGACTGGAATGGGAGCCATTTTATGTCACGGAACACTTTGGCCTGTGCCTGCTGTGTTTGAAGACCAGGCTACATGTGGCACTCTTTGAAAACAGGCATCTGTCCTGTGGCAGCGGTGAAGTCTTCTAATGGGTTTTAGGTCGTGTGTTTCTGGAAAGCAGCTCCCAGTTGGTGATCAGACTCTTTCTCTGCATTGGAAAGCCCAAGGTTACGTTTCACCTTTTCATGTCCAATGCAACAGTCATTTCACTATCAAGGACAAGGCAGCAATATTTCCAAGCAAGCCGTCTTTTGTGTATGTGTATGCGGTTAGTGTGTGTGTGTGTGTGTGTTTGATTGGGTGGTGTCTTTATTTGCTTGTTTCTAATAATTCTGGCTTCCTAGAAGGCAGTAGGGTGGAAGACTGAATATAAGGATTTGTTTTTCTTAACTTTTAGTCACCTGGTTGATCAACTGCGTGGGTATGGTCTATTATTTCTCACTCGACTCAGGCACTGATGTTTTAATTGCTTTGTGGAAGAATGGGTGAAATGCAGAATGCAGTTAGGAGGGACCATGGCCCACGTTTGCTTAGCCTCACAGTTCACGTGGGACTTAGCCACAGAGAACAAAGAACCAGCAGCTGCCTCTCTGAGAGCCAGTCTGTCCTGCAGGCTAAGATCGATGGGGTTGGTGCCCTTCATCTTATTGCAGATCCTCAGGAAAAGGGACATTCAAGTTCCTAGAAAGGAATGTCACTTGGACCAGTGCTGCATGGTGGATTCTGCAAAGACAGCAAACCCTAGAAGCAACCCCCATCCTTACTAAAGACCTGTCTTAGCTGAAGGACCTTGGGACAGCCCTGGGGAATCTCATAGCACTGGGCCGTGGGTCGTTTTCAGGATTGAAGACAGTCGCTCACCAGCCAATGCTGAGACGAGTAGCGTACCTAAGCACATCTGTGTCACCTGTCTCTTAGGTGCACAGCTTGGCGTCCTAGATTATTTGAGAGGGAACTCTTCCCCGTAACCTACATCTTCTCCATATCCCCCACTCCCTCCTGCCCTTGAGTCAGTTGCTATAACATCTGCTCAGTCCAAACCTCTGGGCAAGGCAAACACTCCGAGACAGACGTGAAATCTCAACTGTGAAGTCCTAAATGACACCAAGGCTCTAAATGCATAGCACTTCATTTTGACTTTCCTTGTCTTTGCTTTCTGGAGTTTGCTGTCAGGTAAAGCATGGGGGGTTTTATTTTTTTATTTTTGTGTGTGTGTGCAGTGTCTGCCCCAAGCAAGTCTCTTGGGAGGAGGCGGCGGCGACTGGCTCGAAACAGGTTTACCATTGATTCCGATGCTGTCTCGGCAAGCAGCCCGGAGAAAGAGTCCCAGCAGCCCCCCGGCGGCAGCGGGGACACTGACCGATGGGTAGAGGAGCAGTTTGACCTTGCTCAGTATGAGGAGCAGGATGACATCAAGGAGACAGACATCCTGAGTGACGATGATGAGTTCTGTGAGTCGGTGAAGGGCGCCTCAGTGGACGGAGACCTGCAGGAGCGGCTTCAGGCTGCCTCCATCAGTCAGCGGGAGAGAGGCCGGAGAACACTGGACAGCCACGCGTCCCGCATGGCGCAGCTCAAGAAGCAAGCTGCGCTCTCGGGTGGCAGTGGCGGGCTGGAGAGCGCCAGCGACGAGGTCATTTGGGTTAGGCGTGAAGATTTTGCCCCCTCCAGGAAACTGAACACTGAGATCTGACGGCCGCCTGCCCCTAGAGAACCTGTGTAGATACTTCTCCCGCCCGCCCTCTGCCTGTCCTCCTGTTCCGTCGGCCAGGATGTCCCCTTAGGTCGCACTCTTGCACACACGGTTTTGGCAGCTGACTTGGTTCTGAAGCCATGTAGCCACCCAACTTCGTCATTTCAAAAAACGACATCAGAAAGAATTGTCCAGAATCTCACATAAGCTTGAGTCCTGCCGTCTGAATATCGCTAAGGGCTTTTATTTATTCTCAATGAATCAGGGCCTGAAGAACAAAAAGATAACAGATTCTATAGCACCAGAAAGCATCTCACCCCCAGGAGTTGAAGTACGTACAACAGGAATCCTTTAAGGGATAGTCTCACACACACACACACACACACGCAGATAATAGTAATGATCGCCCTATGGGAAATCAGCCTCTTAGTCCAGAAGCCACTTCCAAACAGAAAATGAAACACAACAGAACGTCTGTACAGCTTGCAGGGTTCAGATTCCCTTCCCTCTTCGATGTCTGAGAATATCCGTGTATTTTAAGAATGTGTGCTGAGAGGGTGGCCATTTCTGTTTTGATGAGCCTTGTTTTTTGTTTTTTGTGTTTTTTTTTTTTTTCCTGTTTTGGTCTATGGCTGGTCTTAATCTATGTCAGTGTTTGGAAGCTCTAATTTTGCATAGAATTATACAGATGCCAAACTCTTTGAAAAGAGATCCAAATTTATCATTTGAGAGAGAGAGAAAGAGAGAGAGAGAAAGAAACACTATTTTTTGTATTTTTACCTGAGATGCAGGGGCACAAATAGATGAGAATTTTACAGTGTTAGTGTAATTCTGAGTCTAAAAAAATGAGGATATAATCTTTTACAGAAAGAGTGAGGTGTGGTGATATTATATTTATATATGAAAGGCCAATAAGAAACTCATGGTAAGGATATACTTCTTTTTTACGAAGCAGTTTTTTTTTTAATGTTTAAACCTGCATTTGAGATGGGAGTTTGGTTGGATTGAGCATAACACTCGAGTGGGCAGTGCGTGAGCCTGTTGCACATGACGGGAGGGAGCCTTGTTTTCATGGGGTTGCCATGGTGACCATTGGTTTTCCCAGCAGACCTGCATCTCCATCCATAGATGACCTACTCCTTTCCTGACCTCCGCCACCAAACCTCCTAACACAGCAACCTCCTCAGACACATCTCTTGTGTTTAACGCTTTCTTCATGCCAACGAAACAGGGTAAACATGCGAATAAATTACCTTCTAAACAGATATCCAAATAGGGAGAACAAAAACAAGTTCTAGCACTTTCAAATTTTTTTTAAAAGGTTTATAGCTTTCCTCCCCACCCATTTCACAATGCCCACTTCCTAAGAAGGGTTTAAATACTATGAAAATTTTCTTTTTTGGGGAAATTATCTATTTGGTGTTTGACACATCAGTAGGTACTTTAAAGACCTGAATTTTATAGTAGCTTTAGGAGTTATATTTTATAAAAATCAGTTATGACTTTATATTTCCAGACAATAGAGAGTTCAGAACATCACGCTCTGTGCCCCTGCTTGCTTTTCCCGCTCTCCCACCCTATATCCCTTCCCTTTTGGGTTTCCAGGGCTTTGAGCTTGATCTTTTGAAAGTTTTATTCTATTAAATTTTTGCTATATATCTTCTGGTTTTCTTAAAGAGCTTTAGAATGGTTTCTATACCCTTTGTATCACTGCATTGTTCCATATTTCATCTCCGGTTCGATTGTGTCCAGATGGAAAACTGAAGCAGAGGCTTCCAGTTGTCGCATTTACTGGTCCCTGTGCAACGCGTCCATATGAAAATACTGGAAAGTCTGGTGCTTGGAAGAGGGTGCCATTGTCTCTTGTACATAAGGTCATGACGTGTCTATGTCAAAAGTTCTTATATATTTCTTTTATAAGCTGAAAGAAGGTCTATTTTTATGTTTTTAGGTCTATGAATGGAACGTTGTAAATGCCTGTCAAACAATAAAACTATTGAAAAGTATCTAGATCGTCCCATGCGTTTTTAGATGGGAAAATGAGTGCGAATTGTTGGTGGCAGAGTGCCCATGGGAGAACATTTTGGGGAATATCTTTAAAAAAAAAAAAACTATAATGATCATCAAAGGAAACTTATCCTTGTAGACCTTGACATGTTAAACAAAACGTAAAGCATACTATAGTTTTCCAGCATTTTGTTCTTGATTTTTAAGGATAGTATATATTAAAACTTTCACTTATTTGAATTTGATAGAGAGAAAGAGAGAGATCTTCTCTTCACTGGTTCACTCTCCAAATGCCTGCAGAAGCCTAGCCTAGGGGCAGGCCAAAGCTGAGAGCCCAGAGCTCAATCCAGGTCTTCTACATTGGTGGCAAAGATCTAAGTACTTGAGCCACCATCTCCCACGTTGGTAGGAAAACTAGATCAGAAGTGGAGGAACTGAGACTCAAACCAGACACTTTGATATGGAAACATGGAACAAAAGGTAAGTTTACTTTGGCACACACACACACAAATTCTGAAACCTGTGCAGTTTTTTCTGATATGCATGTTCCATGTGCTTTTTCAAAATATAAAATGTGTGAGATAAAAATGACAGTGTCACATTCTCCATAGACTAGTCTCAAAGTAAGTCAACGTTTGAAGAAAGAAAAAGGATCATACTCATAGAAGCTCCTTGATTTACAATAGGGTTAGTTCCAGTAAACCCACTGCAAGTTGAAAATGCATTCAATATCCTAATCTACCGCACATCAGAGCTTAGCAGCACAGCACACTAGAGCATCAGTTATGACTGTGAGGTTGGTTGGGAGCTGTGGCTGCTGCCAGTGCCCAGAATCCTGAGGGAAGATTGGACTGCACATCCCCATCCCAAGGAAGAAATCCACATGTAATCTTTTGCACCATTGTAAAGTTGAAAAACCATACTTTAACCATCTGTATTTAAACATTCACAGTTGTGAATGTGTAATTCTTCTGTGAACACTGAATACAGATGCCGTTGGTAGGTGTCTCTTCTCTGTTGACCAGAGAGTGGTTAAAAACCCTCCCTCAACATGACCCTGGGCACCCTTTGTTTTCCTTGTTCTCCCCGTCCTACACCTGCCCCATCCCACCCACAATAAAACATTGCATTCTAAACCTTATTCATCCACAAAGAGTTTATTCTGGTCTCTTCCATCCTTTCTACAGTATGAAGCCAGCTGTAGCTGAAATCTACACTGTTTTGGTAAGGCGTTATCTACCATTACCCAATTCGACCACCTCGGCTGTGTTCCTCGGTGGAATGTTGGGATGGGGGGATCTCTTAATGTGCAAACAGTCGATCCTCAGCTATTGTCTGGTGACTTAGGACTAGTCAAAAACACAGGAGAGTCATAATATATGTGCACACCTAGCATTTTCTGTACTGTCAACTATTCAGGTGCAGGAAACCTAACACTTCTTGAAAATCCTATATCCAGGGTTCTGTCCTTAATATTTTAAAATCGGGAATACCACGGCATGTAGTCCTTTAGAAAAGCTTGTTTTCAACATGCTTTGTGGCCAGTTCAAGCCAGAGTTGGGTTTTTCCGCCAGTGAGAGTGCAGTGGGGTGCTGTCATCATTCTGGGTCCCGGCTCCATCTTCTTTAACTTCAGGACTTCACCCGATTTCTAGAAAATCACCTGGAGCTCCCTGGGCTGCTCTGAAGAACTGTCTGGCTTCCGAGTGTGCTGTTCCTGATTCTGTTGCACTCACCACCATGCTTGTTTTCTGCCTGGTATCAGGACCTTGCAGTGTGGACATTAATGCTGGGTTAAATGACAGCCCATCTTTTTTAATCAAGACGTTCACATTATGTTAACATGCCCTTCTTTATTTTTTAATTCTTTTTCTTTTCAACTTTTATTTAATAAATATAAATTTCCAAAGTACAACTTTTGGATTATAGCAGCTTTTCCCCTTATAACCTCCCTCCCATCCACAACCATCCCATCTCCCACTCCCTCTCCCATCCCATTCTTCATCATGATTCCTTTTCAATTATCTTTATATACAGAAGATCAACTTAGTATATACTAAGTAAAGATTTCAACAGACTGCACCCACAAAGACACACAAAGTATAGAGTACTGTTTGAGTAGTAGTTTGACCGTTAATTCACATAGTACAACACATTAAGGACAGAGATGCTACGTGGGGAGTAAGTGCACAGTGACTCCTGTTGTTGATTTAACAGTTGACACTTTTATTTATGACATCAATGATCACCCAAGACTCTTGTCATGAGCTGCCAAGGCTATGGAAGCCTCTTGAGTTCACCAACTCCGATCTTTAATTTTTTAATTTAGACAAGGCCACTTTCAAAGTGGAAGTTCTCGCCTCCCTTCAGGGAAAAGTACTGCCTTCTTTGATGGCCCGTTATTTCCGCTGGGATCTCTCACAGAGATCTTTCATTTAGGGTTTTTTTTTTTTTTTTTTTTTTCCACAATGTCTTGGCTTTTCACAATATGCCCTTCTTAACTGGTTTCTTGAGTACATGCATTGGTTTGTAAGTGGATTCATACTGTTTTATTAGCACACTTACTATTTTTGTTTACTTTTGTCCCTAATTCTACAACTTAGATTTTCCTGTGATATTATAAAAAGATCTCTGTCTCTCTTAATCATGGCCACAACCATCATAATGGTTGGCATACTGATTATCACAGTTTACATGACCAGTTATCAGCTGGTGAACATTAGTTTTTTCTTGTTTATTTTAAAAGCAGAGAAAGAGAGAGAGAGAAAGCTTCCATCCACTGGTTCACTCTCCAGATGACTGGAACAGCTCGAGCAGGACTGCACGGAGGCCAAGAACTCAATCTATGTCTCCCACATGGTGGCAGGGACCAAATGACTAGAATCATCAGCTGCTACTTCCCAGGGTCCACGTTAGCAGGAAGTTGGCATGAGGAGCAGAACCAAATGCTGCCCCTGTCCCTTTTCCTTTTTTTTTTTTTTTTTTTTTTTTTGAGAAGCAGAGTTGGGGGAAGTGGTAGGGGGAGAGAAAAGTAGTAATAATTTTTTTTTCATTAAAAAAATACTGAGGGGCTGGGGGCAGTATTGAGCACAGAGGGTTAAGCTACTGCCTGCAATGCCAGCATACTGTATGAGCACTGATTGAAGTCCCTACTGCTTCACTTCCTATCTAGCTCCCTGCGATGTGCTTGGGAAAGCAGTGCAAGGTGGCCCAAGGCGCAGGCACTGTGGTGTAGCGGGTAAAGCTGCCACCTGTAGCACCGGCATCCCATATGGGCACCAGTTCGAGTACCAGCTGCTCCACTTCAATCCAGCTTTCTGCTGTGTCCTGGGAAAGCAGAAGATGGCCCAAGTTTTTGGGCCCCTGCACCCACATGGGAGACCCGGAAGATGCTCCTGCCTCCTGGTTTTGGGTCAGCACAGCTCCAGCCATTGCATTCATCTGAGTGAATCAGAAGATGGAAGATTTTCTCACTCTCTCTCTCTGCTTCTGATTACTCTGTAATGCTTTCAAATAAATAAAAATTTTAAAAAAGTCCTAAGTACTGGGAGACCCAGCTGAAGCCTATCTTCTCTCTCCCTCTCTCTCTCCCCCCATAGCTCTATCTTTCAAAAAATAAATATTTTAAATATACAATGAGCATCCATATTGCATATATCTGTGAAATGGTCCATGGTCCACCTGCTTCCATATAATCAAAGAAGTAAAACCTGAATATAACTCTACCATACAACCCAGCCATCCCACTCCTTGGAATTTACCCAAAGGAAATTAAATTGGCAAACAAAAAAGCTGTCTGCACATGAATGTTTATTGCAGCTCAATTCACAATAGCTAAGACCTGGAACCAACCCAAATGCCCATCAACAGTAGACTGGATAAAGAAATTATGGGACATGTACTCTATAGAATACTATACAGCAGTCAAAAACAACAAAATTGGTCATTTGCAACTAGATGGAGGAATCTGGAAAACATTATGCTGAGTGAATTAAGCCAGTCCCAAAGGGACAAATATATGTTCTCCCTGATCAGCAACAACTAACTGAGCACCAAAGGGGAAACCTATTGAAGTGAAATGGACACTATGAGAAACAGTGAATTGATCAGCTCTTGTCCTGACTATTGATGTACAATGTAACACTTTATCCATTTTAGTATTTTTTCTTTGTTTTGTTTAGTACTATTGGTTGAACTCTGTAATTAACACACAATTATTCTTAGGTGTTTAAATTTTAACTGAAAAGTGATCCCTGTTAAATATAAGAGTGGGAATAAGAGAGGGAGGAGATGTACAATTTGGGACATGCTCAATCGGACTTGCCCCAAATGATGGAGTTAGAATCATGCCAGGGGATCCCAATACAATCCCATCAAGGTTGCATGTACCAGTGCCATCTCACTAGTCCAAGTGATCAATTTCAGTTCACAATTGATCACACTGATAGGTCCAAGAGTCAAAGGGATCACACAAACAAGACTAGTGTCTGCTAATACTAACTAGTAGAATCAAAAAGGGAGAGAACGATCCATCATGGGAAGCGGGATACACAGCAGACTCATAGAATGGCAGATGTCCTAAATAGCACTCTGGCCTCAGAATCAGCCCTTAAGGCATTCAGATCTGGCTGAAGAGCCCATGAGAGTATTTTAGGCATGGAAAGCCAAGACACCCTGGAAAAAAAAAAAAAAAAAAAGAAGACCTAAATGAAAGATCTCTGTGAGTGAGATCCTAGTGGAAAGAACAGGGCCATCAAAGAAGGAGGTACCTTTCTCTGAAGGGAGGAGAGAACTTTCACTTTGACTATAACCCTATCGGAATAAGATCGAAGTCGGCAAACTCAAAAGGCGTCCATAGCCTTGGCAACTCATGACTAGAGCCTAGGGAGATTACTGACGCCATAAACAAGAGTGTCAAATTGTTAAGTCAACAACAGGAGTCACTGTGTACTTACTTCTCATGTGGGATCTGTCCTTAGTGTGTTGTCCAATGTGAAGTA